CTCCATTTGGCGTTGAAAGCACCGTGGTATTTGTGTTCTCCCCCACAATAATATAACATCTGCAAATTATGGGGTTTGTAGTTACTTCACACAAAGTACTTTTTCCGGATCAAAAAAAAACTTTCATCGGGACTAAGATCCACGGTGAAATTCCGAGTGTTTTTACAGTGCGCATGGTTGAAAATCTATAGGTATTTCTAACCACCGTTTTATCAAGAACTAATGTGCTTTATATGCAGAAAGAAATATAAAAGCATGAAACGAAAACTTTAACAATTGAGAATGATTTGATCAGAACTACTACAAAGAATGATCAGCCAGTCACTATGGATCTGTGAAGCTAAAACGTGAGACAATTTATTGTTTGATAGTGCATTAGCTAATTACTCGATGCATACCTCAGAATTTTTTCTAAACCATTGTATATCAAATGATAATATCTAGATTATGGTTTCACATGGCAAATAAATGCAGGTAAATAACAACGACATTCATTTTGCGCTAGGGGTTTTCCAACATAGAAACGAGTATAAAATTTTTATGCCGACCTTACGACGACCCTGCTGATATTCGTGATGGTAACTGATAAAATATATGGCATTTTTCCAGGAAAAGTCTAAAATGCGGTTTTGATTTAAGAATGGGGTTGCATTTGTACCATATAATTGGTTGATACTTTGAACAAACGTTTCGGCTCAGTCTACCATTGAAACCATCTTGAGTCGCAAAAGCGTGCTCAACTCCGCGTTGTTCTTGCTACCTTTTGTTCAACTGCTTTGCACACGGAAATGTCGAACAGATATCTAGAAACGGTGGTCTACGTTCCAATCGTTATTCAGGAGAAAAAATATCACCGCAACCTCCGTACGTCACTGCTGTCATTACCTCATCTGTCGAATTTGAACATGGGTTAAAATTCTTGAAAATCAGTTCAAACAATTCTGGTTACCATCGAAATGTCAGTGACAGAGTGCAACTAACCGCTTGACGGCACAAAATCACTTGGAAGAGAACGTTTTGTTTTGAGTATACAATAACTTGACAGAATATTGCTCCCAAATGTACGGATCTGATTTATTCCAAACTCATATCCAAGTGACTTGGTCTGAGCTGAGTAGATGACACTGGAGCTTTTCCATTACTTTGATCACTGTATGCTACCTTGCACAATTAATTGACACAGACACTTAGTTGACCTCTGGAACTATGCGGTAGGGTTAAAGCATGTATGATTTACTAACCTTTCCCGGAGCACAGTCACTTGCTTAGATTTTTCTCTTGAATAGTTACATTAATGTTTAATGCCCAGTGTTATGTCCTAATAGTGAGGCCACAACACACGTAACGATTAAAACTTGAAAGTTTATTTCGACTTCTGGATCCAAGTCTGCAGCTCTATGGGCTAAGGGAGAGAAAGAGCTGCAGTCTCCTAGAATGTACGATACGTGGCGACCCAAATGCTGGCTTGGTGTAGCATTGGCAGCCGTGCTTGATGATATCAAGCAGCCGAACATTCCGAAAGACCAATCGCGCGGACCGCAACAGGGAATCACTTCAGTGGTTATCCGGCTTTTGCCTAAATGATGCCTTTTTACATCGACGACGAGCGACAGGTACAAACCTCTGATAAGATAACAGCCATGAATACTATCTTTTAGGATCGATGACCGTCTACCTGGGCTGGAAGGTGGGTGAAATCCTGCGCCAATGTTCCGACGGCCTGGACTCATCATTTAATGTCCTCAAAATTGTTACTGGCTCTTGTCTGGATAAAATCCGCAAGGCGTTTTAGAAATAAGAACGTGGAAACAACGTTCTTGCAAGCGTTACGTCAGCAAATGCAGCTTTGTCTGTTTTGGCACCTAACAGGTCTGTGGAGATAAAAAAAAACGTGCAAACTCACGCCTCATTGCCCTTAATCAGGCCAAAACGATGAAATTATCTGGATGCAGAAGCGACCGAATGCAAGTTTGAGGTAAATGAATATAAGTGGACCCAAAAGAAGATGGCCACACATGCCTGAGACATTAATACATACCAGAGAAACTTTTTCAACGTTCGTCTTTGTGTTTCTAACATATGCCACAGTGCCACGTATTTTAGATTTGGCGATAGACAACAAAACAATACCCAGGTTTCAGCTTTGCGCCCTAATTTGGAACGTTAGATTTTCCAATGTCTTTTTCTGCTTCATAAATAAACGAAAGTAAAATGATTACAGTGCAGTAAGTAAGTACAGTAAGCGATAGACAACGAAAGACCACAGTAAATTTTTGCTACCGTAAAATCCGCTATGACGACAAAGAAGATAGTATAGTCTGATGAATATCCCCAACTCTATGGAGACACTCAAAATTGTTTTAGGCTGAGTGGCATCAGATGAACTTGGCCAAATATCTAGTTTATTCAGCCAAGTCCTACGAATTAACAACCTGAGTTTAACCAAACGCCTATGTGGCTTTCTAATGTAAAGCAAATTCACGGTGCCAAATAAGTGCTCTGTTATTAATCGTTGAAACTCCGCCAGTAAATGCAACAAACTAGACCTCATGACATCGGCATTTTCGACGATACACAGCGTCAGCTGTTACCAGCGCAAGTTTCCTGACCAAGTACTTAAATAAAAGGGTCATTGAATAAACAAAATGCAGATACTGGAATTAAAAGAACAGAAAAAGTCTCAAGCCATCAACCATGTGGTGGATGTGAAGCTTCATGCCCTAACTTGTGAATAAACGTGGACACCGAAGAGCACACATCTGGTATACAACTTACACAAAAATTTGAATACCTTTATCTACTTTCGTAAAACAATAACAGCTTAAAAGTTTGTGCCTTTTTGGCTTATTATCCTATAAAGCGTTTGGATGTATTCTGATTTGTCGGACTGTGGAAGAACATAAGAACGCTCTTGACAATGAACCACATCTATAGTCACAAATTCCATTCCCGGCACAAGACATTTTCTGGATAAATTTTCTATTATTCATACTGACTTGTCTGCAGTGACAGCTTATGGACAGCACCGCGACGGAAATTCATCCTAAGCGGTTTAAATCACGTCTCTGACACTTGACTGCATGTGCATGCGAACGGCACGCAGATTTGGGCTGTTTTGCTGTAGGTATACATTACTTTGTCCAAAGAAGCCCGTGCGACAACAACGTCTTTTGATGGCCACTGGTAATAGTGGGCGAAACACTGGATAGGAGCCGTATTGCAAGTTTTTTGCACGGGGCAAGGAAGAATGTAGTCGCTTGTAAACTGCTCTGTACAGCTTCTGTGAGCATTAATTGAGGTTTAAAACCACGTATAAAACACGTGCTCAGTATATTAAACACTCACGTATATTTAACGGAAAAGCAATCTTCCGCAGCATCGTGGTTGAAAAAATTTGCCACCAAGGTTATCGTCAACAGGTGATTTTATTCTTGGAATGCATTTGCTAAAACTTTCATTCCACGAGAAGAATATGTCACAGTTTGACCACTTACAGTGCAGTAAACTTTCGCAACTCATCCAATATCAACTTGTCGTCATTTTTCTCCTAGTTCATGACATTAACAATTTTCCTGGTGAATTTGAATCCTAACACGCCTGTAACTGACGACAAAGTGTAGATTAAACCAGGGTAAGCGTGGATAGATGTGACCTGCCCTTTCCAAAATAAGTGACCCAACAACGTTTGCAACACCAATGCGTTTCGACTTGTCTGGGTCAGTGCCAACGGTCTTTTATTCCACTCTGGTTGATTTTCGAGATTTATCGTGAAAACTGAAATATGCTGTTTAGTTTTATAGAGTGAACGTAAATTAAAAAAACGACCATTTTAAATAAACGTATGTGGAGCTTAAGAAAGCTGGTAGACATAGAAGTATCGGAGAGGTTGGGACAGCGGTGAAAAAAGACCACGGTGGAGTCAATTTACGACAGGGCTATTGTCAGCGACATGTCACATCATGCAAGAAATAATGAAATAAATTAGGCTTTAGCACTGGTATGAATCAGTGCGCATGTGGATGGCGGCGCACAATCATGTTTGTTGTAAATATGTCGAAATGTCGGAAATTTGAATGAGTTACTTGGCTGAGTAATTAGTGCGCAAAACCTCTCAATTACCACTTAAAAAGACAGCATCAATTGGGGGAAGCATTGGATGAGTATTTTCCTTACAAGTATTTGCGCCAATGCTGCTTCCCAGATCTATTCAACATCCTTAACATAAGTGGTTGTTTGGTTTGAACTAACACGATTTATGATTGGTCCATTTGAAATGTTCGTCGTGTTACGGTCTGGTTCACTTGCACCTGATTGGTACGTTGAATGTCTACAGTTCAGTACTGCCCTACCTTTATTACATTTGATCCGGTTGCACTTAGTGTATCCTGAATTTTATTCTGGCTTTCCACCACTTTGTCAGTGAACTGGGTACATTCCATTTTCCATAGTCTCGATTTTTATCTGACTGTTCGCTCAGCAAAAATAGCGTGATTTTCTGAATCATGACTGATCTACATAACTCTAAGCTGCTCCACGTAAATTCAGTTCGTCTTGCATTTTAGGCTTCTGGTTTTTGCTAGTTTCTCTTCCTATTTGTCGTGGATTTTAGTGCTCATTAATATGCTCATTGAGTTTCGCATCCTGTTGGTATTTTATGTTTACTCCTGCGGTTTCTTGTGCCGTTTTTAGCCCGAGGCTTCTGGGGTTGTTAGTGATTTTAGTGTGCTGATCGCAGTGTTTGTTGATGGACTTCTTAGTTGCGCACAAGGTCGCAATGTGTGCAAGTACCTCCGTTGCTGCGGCTTTGGATGGCGTGAGCCTCTTGGTTTTAGTGTATGTATTGGAGGAACACCTGATCGTCCCTCTCACCGTCGATGTGGTAAATCTTTTCATCCTTTTCTCCGGTTATGTTGTACGTAATCCTTGCAATGACTTCCTTATAAAACCCTGATCTTCTAAATCGTGTTCCTAGTTTTCCTAGCGGATTTGATATTTCTTACCTTAATATGGTTATGCGTTTGTTGGCCACCATTTCATCCTGCTGTCGTAACATTCTTACTGACATTCTTGTGGTCACCTCTGATGTTTTCATGGCTAACAGGGATGTTGGTTCGTTGATTTGGTTGGACTGCTGCTGTTCGGCAAACTCAGCGTGAAAGCTCATGGTTAACTGGTTACTTAATAAAGATTCACTTAAAAATTCATCCCTTTTGACTTTAATCCCAATAGTGTTGCGATGTATCTCGGTCTGAATCATCGGTACATGCAGGCAGCTATACTCGTGGCAAATAGGGTTTAAAATTAAACCTGTGTAGGCCCGTTAACTAGAGACCTTGGCTTGTAGCAATCTATTACTTAAGTTGTTGCTGATCACTTCTAAAAATTAGTGCTTTTTTAACTTCCTTCGTCGCCGAAATGTTAGCATGTTAATGACCCGTTTGCTGGAGTTCAGTCTTTTGAAAACGGAGAATCAGCCGTTCCCGTAAGTTTGTACATTAAGCATTTAAGTCGAGAAAAATAACCCGTTCCAGCATTTCATTGAAACCTCTGCAGTAAATCCTGAAATTGTGATCCCACCGGTGCGTTTTTTTGTTCAAATTATTATATGCTGAACTGACAATACGTGGCCAAAAAACACGGTATGTCGGAGATTTCATCTTTTTTTGGAGCCCTGTTATAACTCCATGGCTGCAAAATACTCTAGCCTGGAATTGGAATTGGGCCTAAACCAAATGTTATTATAATTTCACCCTTTCTTTTTGAGTGCTCTTTAGTTTGCCCAGCTTAGTAGCTAACCAGGCTTATTTGTGTCCGTTGACCAAAGATTTAATATTGACAGTCGCTTAATTTTTGTAGCTGCAGGTGACTGCTTGTCCCATAGTTCTGAAATAGGAAGGAAAATAAATTTGGCATACGGAGGCACGAGACACGGGAGAGAATTTCTGGAAGCATGGTACTCCACGGCAGATTCGATCAACCGGTGCATCGAACTAGACCCAATTTACGCGCCCCCACGTGCAAAAGACCATCATCTCAACCGGAAAACTCAAGAAGGACCGAATATTGAACTCACAAACAACGAAACAAGGGACTCCTTGGAGGTAAATTAATAAAGGTCACAACCCGGGACTGGAAAGGACAAAGGTCACTCTAGCATCGACCAGATTATGACGGCAGGAAATGCCAAGCTCAGAGGTCACGTGGGCATCGGCGAATGAGGACGCAGGACAAGGGAGCAGCCAACGGAATCGCCCGACCGAACAGCTAATCGCGATCAAAGCCCATCCTATGCTAGCAGCGCGTATATTAACACACGCACAACACTGCCCAGCGCACAACCCCCAACCCACCGCTACGCACTCCTACGCTCCGCAATAACGCACTGATGATTGCACCTCGATTGGTGATGAAACTGTTGCAATCAAATTGCCCAGCTCAGCGAACAAGCCCACGACCACCATCTACGCTACCTGAGCTACCAACATTTTCCTCTATAGAAAATATACGTCGTATACGTGGTACTTTTATTGGCTAGTTGGGCGCTTATGTTTAACACAGGAGATAAAAAATTCGTCTGGATTACTAAAATAGTAGTTGCTGGAAAGAAATAACAAAGCGTGAAGTCGTTTATCCGTGGACGACAGTGAGCTCAAGCCAGTCGTACGCATGTGGTTGTATAAGTACATAGTAGTTAACGTCACTGGATTTCATTAACCGCAGTCATATAGCCGAGGAAGAGACGAATGAACCGGATACAGGAAAATATATAACACAGTTTTTTAAATAAAATTTGGTTATTCTCAATATCCTGGGATTTCTCCGAGGCTTGAGGGTACTCTTTCGAACTTTTTCTGGCCAGCAGACAAGCAAACAAATGGGTCAAAACTCAGTAACGCCTTCTTCATGCATCGGTTTTATTTCGGTAACCAATCAACTACCGGTAATTTTTTGCTGGTTGTACACTTGGTCGATTCACTTAGTGAGGGAAATGACGGTGTGTCAGGACGCTTGGGGAGAAATAATTGTGGAGTCGCTTGCTTTCATAGGCTGATTGTTTCAAGTTGTGTAAACACCAATTAGCTAACCAAACCGGTAATTTTACAACAAAATGCTTCAGAAAATTCCATCTACCACAGTAATCTTTGTTCAGTAACGTTTAAATATTTATTTCAATAAGAGGTATATTTTCTAAATTGAACATACAGTATCCCAATTCCCAAATGAACAGTGATTCGGCAGAATGAATAACAGAATCATTAAACATAGAGATAGAATAACATACTTTATTTTAAAGACAAATGCGGACTAAGGTGGAACTTCACAGAACTGGTCAATTTTTTGTAGAACGTCCAAAAAATCATGAACGTAGAAAGTGGGAAACCCAGTTTGGATGCCATATTCCGCAGTTGATCGATATTTCCGCGTTGACTGACCCTTTGTATCAGCACTCGTGAGGCTTTCATTCTGGAACGGCTGTGGATTCCGTAAAAGATGTCAGTTTACAGCATGCCATGTACTGATCACGAAAATCCCATATGGCTACTCCGCATGCAGCAGTTGTCTTGGAGCTTGGAGACACTTTATTTAAATGAGGAGGAAACCTCGCCAAGACGTCTGAAGTTATCGAATGTCTGCAGGAATAAGGAAAAAGCAGTCATGTTTGATACGTAGCCAGATAAAATGACTGATTAGGATAGACAAACATGGAGTGGAAAGGTTGTGAAGGATTGCACTTGGTATCATGTGGATAAGTTGACAAGCGACGGGATTCACAGTTCAACATCAAAAACTGGACGATTTTTAGAGGACATTACACAGGAAAGACGTCGTCAAGTTGTCAATTTCACCATGTCGTTAAGGAACCTCAAAGAAATACTAGCTTTTACGACTGACAAACCATCTTAATGATCACACTTCTTTTGGCATCAGTATTTAAAAAACTCAGTTGCTGAAACAAGTGATGATGATGGTGATGACAACTGGAGGTCATTGATGGAATTTATAACCTGTAAATACATTTAGGTTTAAATGCCACTTGCCGTAAGTCACAGTAAGTATTTGCGTGCATAATTGTTCAACACGACTCTGCATTGATGGATTATGACAGTGTGGCCGAGTTGCATCTTCAAATTAGTAGAGGCGCAACGATTTCAGAACGTTTGACGACGTTGAAAACAGTCACTAACGCACAAAATCTCGGTTCAAAACAACTAACAATAAATCTGCTCTGGTTTTGTGAAAAGATTCGAAGACCGTGACATCTCCGTTTCCAAAGTTTCCTCCTAGCTGTTTATCGAGCGTAATTTTCAGTCACTTAAATGTTCCTTCGTGTCACATTGGATCGCGTTATCTTCAGTATTTTACAGCATAATGCAATTGTTTTGGATCTAATTGCTTGCGCAGTAAACGCTATTGTTCGTATCCAGCCAAAACAAAAGAATATTAATCTTACCATTTTCCTATTTATTGTGCTTTTGTGTCTATAACTTATTTTTTTGACTAAAAAGAGATCCGTAAACAGTTTCTGTTTTCTTGTTTTACCGGTACTGTGACTATCACAGTCATGGACGACCACAAAGAAGACCACAAAGAATTCTCCCTAAAACAGTACGGTTCCACAACCAACAAAATTTAGTCAGTTAGCTTGGTAGTCCCTTCAATAAGATACAAGTCTGGAAGTTACCTAATATTTGAGTATTGATATACTTTGGAGAAGTTTGAGAACTTTGAATTATTTTGCTAATTGTCACATGTCAGTTGGTAACTAGAACAATAGTATATTTAAAAGAATGTGTCCCTGTGTTTCTCGACCGTGGTTTTGACGGAAGTCGATAAAGCAATGTGCCAGTGTTAATTGGATGAGAATTTAACATATATGCAAAATAATGGAAGATGTCTTTGGGGCAGAAACCGGTAGCTCAGGCAGCTGTAAAAGTTTGGTTATTTCGAGCAAAAAGCAAAATAACTGACAGTAATGACAGAATGCAAACCCTTTTTAGAAGTGTCATGCCTCTTGGCTCCTTTTTGACAGTCAAAATGTTTAAGCGACCAAAATATAGAGCGAATTTGTGCACTTTGTTAGTTAACAACAGGCATCCTCATATGAATGCTCACTACGCCCAATTCCCCTTTGATAGACATGATCTTTTTTGCAAATTAGCTGAACAATCTGTGTCAAAGAGTCTTACTTAGCCATATACAACGTGATGTTTACTCCGGCTGTGCAGAAAATAGTAGTGTCTGCAATGCAGACAAATTCGTTCATTAAAAGAAAATTGCTCAGACTTTATTCTATTTTTTGTGAGAACCTAATGTTTCCAATCAATTAAAAGAGAGTTATTATCCGTCGAACTCTATCTACTCTGGATTGCGACTGCTTTCTGGTTCACTGACTTCAAACAGGAGTAAGTTAGGGAATCCTACTCCTGTGCACAAGTTACCATGTCACCGCTGCTTGCCCAACACGGACAGTGTATGATACTGCTGTTTCGGGAACTAAAAAACTTATAAATTTGACAGAAGAGAAACTGATAAGACCAGCTCTGTTGATATTACTAATGCTTTCTCAATCAAAAACTACAGGTACAGTGGATTCTGGCATCATTTTTCATCTTTTTTTCACATTGCACCCTAGCGATGGAGTGATTAACTGAATTTCACATAATAATCTTAATCACCTTGATATTGATTGCCGATGTGTGAAGCCGTCAATGAAGAGACATTATATGAAGGGATGAGAAAACTAAGACTGCTTACTACCAAGAGGTTCCGCTGACGGAGAAAAGATAAAAATATATGTGTGCTTATGGTCAAGATGGCAAACATAGAGGCTTTTGGTATGGTCTCGCATACGGTGTTCAAGTAATTTAGTGTCTAAAACAGAAGTGGAAAACTCATGAGCAAACAACAACATATTGAAAAGATGCTTCAGTCTACATAAACCAAAATAAATTCAAAACTTTCGCTGCAATTAACCAGTACTTGCATACCACAACCACATATTTGAGCAATATGTTTTCACAACATTCTTGTCTTGATTCAAATCCTAAAACGCAGTTGAAAGATAATGTTGGTAAAAAGTGACTCGACGGCACATTCGATTCAATAAAATTTTTCGAGTATAAGCTATAAAGCAACATGACCATTTGAAACGGTCCTTAAATA